TAACAGTTTCCCCAAATATCAAAACCCAAGAAAACAGCCAACTGCATTTGCATGCAAAGCCTCACATTTCCCTGCTTCTAAAAATTCATACTTCTTTCACAGTTCTCCTCCTCCCAAAGCTCAGAGAATCGAAACCCAAACCCGTTGCAGGCATATTGCCCAGTTCCCTCAGTGACACAAAAACTGAATGAAAACTTTTGTTAAAGGGGGAGAGGATGGAGACGCAGAGGACGCTGTATTTATTTATTGGTGGTTGGTTTACCTAGAATATTAAGCACGATTTTGAAGGAGACCAAACTATGTCATCCCAAAATATGCCTCAAAATTGACATCAAAATTATTCTGAGCTAAAAGCACTTAAAAAAAACCCGAGCTGGTACAAGAAGGGCACTCTGACTATCCCCTTTTTCTTCCTAAATGCAGAAGATAAAACCCCCCATATGGAAGATGTCTTTCCCAAACCAGAAGGAAAGTAACGTTCTTATCATCAAGACAGGAAGTTGAGACTGAGAGAACTCTGTACAAATAGGCCTTGTTCAAATAATTCTTATCTTTCTTTAGCCTCCCCACTTAACTGAGTTGCTTTTCCGCAGTTACATCTACTTCAACCTAAGAGAAAGGTCTGGAGGTTTTGCAATTACTTTGAGTCTTCATTTCCTTATGAGAGCTGCCGTGCCATGCAAAACTTACATTAAATACATTTGTATGCTTTTCTCCTCTTCATCTGTCTTCTGCCAGTTTAATTCTCAGAGTCAGTGAAGACCCTAAGAGGGTGGAGGTGAACTCTTGCCTCTCCTACAATTTTGTTAGGTAAGTGCATGTGAGAGAGAGGGGAACAAGTGACCACCCCCACCCCCCCCCCGGGGGGTCAATGGGCTGTGTCAGTGTTTATTTACATAGCTACTTTTATTTCATTATGATTAGAGTTTCATACACACGCACACACACAATATATACACAATATATACACAATGTATATATATACACTATATATGTATATAGTGATTATTTATATACTTATTTATTTTTATTTTAGTTTGAGAGAGTGCATGCACACATGTTTATGAGGGGTAGGGGAAGGGCAGAGGGAGAGAGAGAATCTTAAGCAGGCTCCACGCGCAGCAGTGAGCCCCACGTGGGGCTCGATCTCACGACCCTGAGATCACGACCTGAGCTGAAATCAAGAGTCGGACACTTAACCCACTGAGCCACCCAGGTGCCCCACAAAATATATATTTTAAGGAATTAACTTGTGTTTTTGTCTACATTTAATCTTTTAAAAGTCAAATAATCCTAGAAGGGGAAGGGTCTGGGGAGGGATGTTAGGCATGAGTGTTCAGACTTCGACGCAGCTTCTCAATTCAGTTTGTTCCTCAAGCCCTGCACACATGCCATCCTCCCTCCAGTTTCTCCAGAGAAGATAGGACTCCCTCCTGTGAGACGGGGTGGGATCTTGCTCCATATAGAGTCCCCACCATTCCCCACTTTTCTCATTCCCATCCCGCACCCCCAACCCTTCCGTGGCGTCTCAGGCCTGCAATTCTGAGCTTCTGTAGGATTCTGCATCTACTTTGCCAATTTCCTTACCATTCTTCTACCTGCTGTTCTTCTTCATATTTTGGGATTCTGCACCATCTCTGTTCTCTGCTATGGTGGCCATGAGAATGCACATCTCTGTTCTCCTACTTACAGGGAGTGAGATCGACCCAAGGCCTGGTGGTCTCTGCTGGGTACTGTTTTTCACCAAGCGTTGCTCTGCTGGGGTCATGGCCTCCTCTCTCTCCTGGGTACTGCGTCCTCTCTTGTTGTACATTGAGGCCTAGGAGTTTATTTTTGGTGGTCACCTTGAGCCCACACAATTCCACAGTGGTGCCGTAATCAGCGGCAAAGAAGGAAAGTCGACTGTGTTTCCTCTGCATGTAATGCAGGCAAATGGGTTTTACAACAGAGTTGCTTGGACCCAGTGGGTTTAAGTTCAGAACAGATCTTTCTTCTCCTTATTACTCCTAGTGGTCTCTCTGTTGGACCCAGACATGTGCACAGAGAGCTCAGCTGGGGCCGAGTCCATATGACAGTCACTTTGATATTCTAGAAATGTATCACTTCTTATTTTAGCAATCAGAGAAACCTCCTCTACAGTGTTTCCAGCCTCTAGCTCTTCTTTCTTCCTTCTTTAGCCCCATATTCATATCACCCCAGACATTCCCATTTTAACTGCCCTGGCTCAAAAATCTTCCACACTTCACTGTCTTCTTTTTCATATGGGATAATCCAAACTCCTTGGACTTCATTAGGGCCCTTTACCATCTGGCTTCATACTACTTTTCCAAAGAATTGCTTACTCTTCCTCTGTGCCAACTCTACTCCAATAGGATTGACACTCATAGCTTCTCAATGTGCATTACTCCTTTTGTGGTCCCACCTTGCAGAGTGTTCCTCTTTTCCCAGTCCACATGTTCTCTCTCATCCCTGCTGAGGCTGTCTTTCTCTTCAAAATGTTCCCAGTTTATTCCAATCCGGAGGCCCAGCTATCTGCGGGATTTTATAGTATTTGTGGTGGTAGCCGTCATTTGATGGTTGTACAGAGCCTTGCACTCTTTCATGTAGATTGGTACCTCAAAAAACAAACCCCTGGCTAACACAGATCCATTTCTCTGGGCACAGACACCGCTGGAGGGAAGCTGTGGGATTCCTTGGTGTTGATTAGCAGCGATGAGGAAGGAGGAAAAGGCAGAGGTGCTGTCTTGGATCTTGGAGAAAGGTGACAACTGGGCCCGGCAGCTCTGCAGAGCCAGCCTGTCCTAGGACTGGGGCAGCCCTGGCACCGAGCCTGGGGAGCTGCTGGGCGGGCCATACCTGTTGTAGGCCCTTGTCTCTGATGGACTTCTACATCAAGAGAACGTTTTGATCTTCAGACTCATCTGGACCTTAGGGCCTTTGGTCTGCTTGAAACTCCCAGCACCGGGGTGCCTGGGTGTCTCAGTCAGTTAAGTGGCCTGACTCCTGGTTTTGGCTCAGGTCATGATCTCAAGGTCATGAGATTGAGCCCTGCATCTGGCTCTATGCTCAGCGTGGAGACTGCTTGAGATTCTCTTTCCCTCTCCCTCTGCCCCTCTGACTCCTGGGCTCATGCTCCTACATGCATTCTCTTTCTCTCGAATAAATAAATAAATCTTAAAAAAAAAAAAAAAAAAGAAACCTCCAGCACCAGAATTTTTAGCCCAGCTGTCCCTTTTCATTCAGGTCCCTGTCTAAATAGTTCCATTTCATCCCTAATCATATCTAAATTAACCTCACCCAACACTCTGTATGGCATCATCCTGTTTTTCTTATCTGAAATTATCATCTCTATCTAACTCTTTGCTTATTTATGGTCTGTTTCATGTGTTTACAGAGGCCCTATCAATCTTGCTTATTCCTGAATTCCCAGCGCTCAGAGTAGTGCCAGCATATAGTAGGTGCTGGACACATGTTTATTGAATGAGTGAATAAACTAGGAAAGGACCTTTGGGTAGTGTCTTGCATTTGAGTAAAGAGAGTTGTAACTCTATTGTGGAGAAGGAAGAGGGGAGGTTGGGAGTCAGATGGCTACAACCAGTGCTCTGAACCCCATCTCTTCTCAGCCAGCACCGGATTTCCAGGGAGAGCCACATTCATGGCTCTCAGGGCCGGGGCAGCCCAGTGATCCTCTAGTTACCCCAGTTATATGAGTTCAGTACAACCAGATACCCCCCACAATGCCCTAGGGCACCCATTGGCCTCAGGGGAACTTTGGTCAACTGGCCATAGTGTTGGTGGGGGAGCTCCCCAAAACTTCCTTTGGGTGTACAAGCTCTAGGCTAGCAAGCAACCATGCTGGAAGAGTGGTTGGTGAGTACTTTCCATTTTTTTTTTTAAACAAATTAATTTAAATACTTTTTACTTTTTCATTGTTCCCATTGAAGTGTATTTCATGTACTGTGAAATGCACAAATACTAAGTGAAATCATACATCTGTGTACACCTGTGTAACCACCACCAACACCAAGACATATTCAGCATCCTAGCAGATTCCTTCATACTTGCTCCCAAGTGATATTCCCCAAGGGTAACCTGACCTAGATGCCCATAGATTTTTTTTTTTTGCCTGTTTTGGAACATCATATAAAAGGAATTATACAGTAAGTGTTTCATTTTTGAAAAGTGGTCATCTAGCCAGATGCTGCATGAACAGGAGAGGGGTTAAGAACTTTTGCATTCTCCCCCAGCTTGCAGCAGTCTGAGTCAGGCAGGCCGTGCAGGGTTTGAATGGTGACTCACTCCCATGACCTCCAGCAGCTTATTCAACCTTGTTGACCCTATAATTCTTCATTATAAAATAGAATAATTATTCCTACTTTGGAAAGTGCTTTTTAGGATGAATGATAATGGCAAAGTGCCTCGTGCAGTGCCTGGCACATAGTGGGTGCTTGATAAATGTGTGTTGGATAAATAAAACTTTATATATATTCTTGGCTATAGTAGGCATTCATTAAATATACACTCAAATACTCTATTGGTCATGTTCCTGCTTGTACTATAGATTTCTCTTCTGTGAACTACCCCCAGGACTTCAGTTTAAGGATAAGGGTGTGTGTGGCCAAGGACTTCTGTAAAGACTTCTTGCACTTTCTGGAATTAAACATGTGACTTTGGCTTCCTTCCTTTGGATTTTACCAGCCAGAGTAAAATATTGGGAATGGGGGTTAAGGACCATTTCTGAGAAAATGGGCTTTTACAGTATGAACACTTCACTTTAGTACAAGAAACATTTATGGAACAAGTGCAAAGCTCGATGTTTCTCATTCATGTTTTCTTCGTGCCCTCATTCACTCACAGGTCATACTTAAACTTTGATGTATTTCACTTTCAAGGGACTGGCTGAGGACGAGGGCCGGTCCCTTTAAGGCCCTGGAAAGGGTCTCGGTGTTGGTTTGGGCAGGGAGGCCACGCCCCATCACGTGTGCGCAGTCTCTCCCCCCCCGAGGGGCGGGGCCGGCGTCTCTGGGCTTCCGTCACTTCCGGTTCTCTGTCAGTTGCAAGCGAGCGAGCAGAAGGAGGTTCGGCTGCGAGAGTGGAGCGTGAGTGCTGGGGACCCCGCCCCCACCCCGCGAACCCCTGCCTGTCCGGCCCTCACCCTCCCAGCCGGGCCGCGAGCCGCTTGCGGCCTCAACCCCGCTCGCAGGCGACGGCCGGGGGAAATGGCGGCGTTGCCAGACCTCCCCGCCTCGGCCTCCCTGGACCTCCTCCTCCGTCGCCGACCCGCGCCCCATACCCTACAGGCCTCTCCGCGCCAGAAGCTGGCTCCCGGGAATGGCCCCGGCGCGGCGAGTGCGGCGGCCCCTGGCGGCGGGGCGCGGCCGGG